AATGGGTTATAATCACTTTTACATTTGAACCTCAAATGTAATAAAATTCAGTTCATGTTCACTGTTACTTTGACCTTTAAAGAAGAATTCTGGAAGAAGTTATCTGGCTGGACTAACTTAACTTTTGAGCACATGGTATTTCTAAAAGTTATTACATCTTGAATGCATAGACAGTACCAGAAAGTTAATCAGTAAACTATTTTTTTTCTATTCTTACAACCTTGTATTTATAATTGTACTTAGTTTGTTAGTGGTGATTGAATATTTTCTTGATAAGTGTTGTTGATTTAGAATGATTAGTTCTTTCTTCAGGAAACCACATTTTGTGTGAATGCAGTCCAAGAGATACAGTCCATCAAATAATGTGTTATACATATGAATGGTTACATAAATAATGCTTGGGTATTAAATGTTTAATTATTCTCATTCATCAGTATTTCAACATGAATATAATATGTGTAGACCTTGCACTTAATTCTTGGAAGAGAGATCTGCAGTTCAGAATACTGATGTCATTTTGGCACAGGTTACTTTTTGTTTTATTAGAGTTGAAAAATAGGACAAATATCCTTTAGGTGGTCAGAGTAAGAGTATTGAGGAACTGTGTACAGTAGACTAGTGAATAGTTTTGTATTCCGGAAATCACTTGTTAAAGTGGCACAACAGTATCAATCAGGATACGAGAAGATTGATAACGACGGACAGAGCAAGATACTTTGGTTGTAAAATACCAGGTTGAATGAAAATGCCTAATGGTGAAGGAATGAAATAGTATTTTTTGCAGTACAGTATTTGTGTAGTTTTTATCAGCATATTTTATTTTCACTGATTTTTTTTTTTTCTTTTTTTTTTTTGTAAACTAAGCAAACACTCATTTGAAAATTATCATATGTTGTAGATTTTTTTTTTGGGAAGATGAAGTATTTTGTTGTGAATTGAAAGGAAAAACCCCAAATAAAGTTTTGAATTTTTTTTCTTTTTTTATATTTTCTCTCGTAGATGGAACATCCTTGTTAACATAAGTAATATTATTTCCATACTCTTACATACATGAAATTGTATATAAGTACAAGTAAATGTAAGTCACACACACACACACACACACACACACACACACACACACACACACACACACACACACACACACACACACACACACACACACACACACACACACACACACACACACACACAGGCCTCAAAGACAAGTATTATACCGAATTGTGGTCACCATACTATCTTACAATGCTGTATGACAGTTGAAGACTAAAACATTTTCTTCAAATAAACAACTCATTAAAACCCCTTTCACCACAATAGTTTACCATAGTGCTATATGGCCTTTGGTATTTAGCACAATTTTATTTGCTTAAACATTAACCATTGCGTTTAGGTCAGAAAGTGATCAGATACCGAACACACATTAGTATGAAAAAAAAAAAAAAACGCATTTGAGTCTCAGTATTTACGGAAATTATAAACAACTAACAACAAAAGTGGCAACTGACTTTTATTGTTTCATCCATCATTAGTGACTCATTACTGGTGGGTTAATGGTGGAAGGCTTCATGTCAAACATAGTGATATATTTCTACTATCAGTCTGTGTGGAGGGTTAATGTCCTTACATTAATATACAGTAGGAAAATAAAAATTATCTAAGGAAATGATCGTGATTGCCAGACACGCTCTCCACAAGACATCCAAAACAGGGGATGGGCAAGCTGATATTATTGCACAGAGAGATGATAGGGAACAAAGGAGGGTCGGCGGGCGAGGTTTACCCCGTCTGGAATGAATGTGTTAATTGTACTTTCTTTGTGATTATAGGTTTGGCTCGTCTGGCGAGGCTGGGGGTAGCGTGTGTGTGTGTGTGTGTGTGTGTGTGTGTGTGTGTGTGTGTGTGTGTGTGTGTGTGTGTGTGTGTGTGTGTGTGTGTGTGTGTGTGTGTGTGTGTGTGTGTGTGTGCGTGCGTGCGTGCGTGCGTGCGTGGTGCGTGCGAGCGTGTTAATGGATGAGTGCTCAAGAAGCGCTAAATGATTTCTCATTGTTATATAAAAATGAGTAGAATATTAATCAGATTAAAACGAAACAAGTTAAGTTTTCCCGGAAATTATGGCTCACTCTACTCGTCAACTAAAAGTATTTGACTCAAAATGTCCTTAGTTTACACCGATAGTAAAGTGATTCAGAAGAACTGAATGAACTACGATGCAAAAGAACCACTCCAATATACTTTCTTCTTGTTAGTAATGATAAAAGGGTTATCATGCACTAAAAAGCCTGCCTGTCTCTAGAACAACGACAACGTAACCAGTGCACTAGGGACTATCGGGTTGCTGCACGGACTATGCCTAACATTAAGATCGAGACACTTCATTGAAAACGCATTATAGCCAGTTAGATTTGGTGCTTCATATTCACCAGAGTATGATGGAAGTCCAATCAATCAACCAATATATATATATATATATATATATATATATATATATATATATATA